TGAACGAGGCTCGGGACCATGGCCTTCCTTGTTATTCCATGTTATTCCCTCGCCTGGAAACGCCCTCCCCTCTGACTCTGCCTGTGAGCTCCCACTCGCTCTTCAAACACACCTCACACACTGCCTCCAGGGCGAGCCCGGCTCAGGCTGTGCCCGCTCCCAGAGCCCTGAGCCTGTGCCTGCTACTTACTGCGCCTGGGAATGGCTACTTTCTCTTGTATTTATACCTTTGGACAAGTAGTCACATCCTCCCCAGCATCTAACACAGTGTTGAGACATAGCATATGTTCAGTAAATGCTTATTGATGACTCAATTAATTACCAATTATGAGAATTAGTGACATCTCTTGGAGACCAAAGATACAACACTGAGTCCTACCACCTGGCCCCCAGCGCTCTGCGCTTCTCCCACACGCCTGCTTGACTGCTCCTCTCTTCTCTGGGCTGTGGGAGACGGCCTGACGGGTGCCCCACGCTCACCCCGGGAAGCGCAGGGCCGCCCAGGGGCCACGTAGGAGCTGAGAAGCAGTCTGGGCCTATCTTACCTTTCCTCTTCTTGTCCCTTCAACACACTCCCTTCAGTCACCTACTCTTTCTCTAAAGGTTTGTGCTTTGGAAGTCATCCAATCCAAGTTCTTCGTGGAATTCAGTAAGATAGAAGCACAGAATGAAGGGACTCATGAATCCACCCATCACCATCCTAAAGCCTCCTGACACGCCTGCATCCACACCCCTGCCGCCTGCACCTCAGACCCCGGCCTGGAGGGTCAGAGGGCACAGGGGCGACCCGTACGGGATGTCCTCCCGCGGGAGGGCTCAGCGTCAGCTCCGTCAGCTCCCGCCGCTTGGCCTGAGAGCGGAGCTTCTTTAAATGCCTCACTCAGTCCCCGCCCTTCCCTGGACTTCGTCCTGGCCCGGCTCCCAACCACCCTCAGCTCCTGTGCCCGCTGGCAGGCAGACGCCAACCTCACTGAATGCAGAGCGACGGGGGTTCTCCGTGTCAGACCTGCTGCTCTCGGGGCCTGATGCGGCACCAGCATTGTTGGCGGCCACACGGCTCAGACGGAGCCTGCTGCCCCGAACCCAGGGCCTCGTCACAGGAACTACAGCCAAGCAGACACCCGCCCCCCCGCCCCCCTGCTGATTGTGGGCCTCCAGAGCAGGCCCTGAAAGAAGGCATGCGGGAGCCAAGGGAGTCAGAGCCACCGGAAATGGGTCGAGGAGTTGAGGGGGGAGAGGACAGGGTCCGAGAGATGGAGGGTTGAGGAGCCAGGGATCGAAGCGATGGGGTCAGAGGCACAAGTCACAGGGCAGGGAGGGCGGCAGAGTCCAAGGCGCAGGACCGGTCATGGAGGAGGCCCTGGAGCGTCAGAAACCCGAGGGAGGTGTCAGAGATAACGATCAGGCCTGGCCGGTGTGGCTCAATGGTTGACTCTCCACCCAGGAACCAGGAGGTCACAGTTCGATTCCCAGTGAGGGCACAGGCCCGGGTTGCAGGCTTGATCCCCGATCCCGTCAGGGGTATGCAGGAGGCAGCAGACCAAGGCTTCTCCCTCTCTCCCTCTCCCTTCCTCTCTCTCTAAAATCAGTGAAAACGTAGAAGAAAGAACTCAGTGAGTGGAGGGCTTGGGGGAGGAAGAGACCCCCTGGGAGAAGAGCTGGGAGAAGCTGCGGGATGGGGAACGAGCGTCTCAGGGGAATTCGCCGCACTGGCCCCACGGTGGGACTTTCCTTTCTGCGGGGTCTTGGGCTGGAGAAGCCACCACCAGTGTGTCTCCCCTTCACCCCACCATCTGCCCGGGCTGGGGGCCCGGCCTCACTGCCACTCTGGTGCCGAATCGCACCTCCCGAGGGCTCAGGTGGGTCCTGCGGGGGGCGGGGCGCTCCTCTCACCCTCCGGAGGCAGAGATCCGACCCAACACCCAGACGCTGTCCTCCCGAGGACGTGCCCCCGCCCCCGCCGAAAACGCTGGAGGCGGGTCAGTGTTCAACGTGGGGCGGCGGGCCCCAGGGGGAGGACAGCACCAGGATGAGGAGGAGGCACTGGGCTCGCAGAAAACTGGGGGAGGAACCTCAGCCCCATTCATCGCAGGCCCTGGGCCCAGAGCCTCCTTCTCCACACAAACCCTTCTGGCCCATCGCGAGGAGAAAGGCCCAGAGAGCCGCCGCCGCCCCCACTCTTCCTTGGGGCCCAGGCGTGCCCTTGGCCGAGCCCTGGGGATGAGGCCTCTGGGGGAGAAAAGGGGAAGAAGGTGTCTGGGGATGCGGGCGGCCCTGAGCAGGAAGCCAGCAGGAACCAGGGCCCTCCCTGCACTGCAGGGGCCACAGCTCTGAGCAGAGAAGGACAAAGAGGAAATGACAGATTGGGGGGGAGGGGGGGAGCCGGCCCCTTCTCTGGGAGGAGCTGGACCTGCCAAAACAGGCCGGGCGGGGCCGCCAGGACACCTGTGCTCAATTTCAACCAAACTGAGAAACGCGGCTGCCCCGGGAGCTGAAGGAGCGGGCTGCGTGTTGCGGGCTCAGGCCCCCGGGCTCCTCCGGGAGAGTTCCCCCCGCCTCTGCCCTTCGCCGTCTTCAGACCAGGCCTCAGGCTGCCTTGCTCTCTGGGCCCCAGGTCCACAGCTTCCCCTGCCCTCCCCTTTGCACAAAGGGACCAGGAGGGGCCCAGAGACGGGAGGGGCTGTCCCCACCTGGACCCTCACCTGTGGCCCAGCCAGGCTGCAAAGGGCACTCTCCTCACCAGGACCCACCCTAGTGCCTCCTCGGACTCTCCCAGGCCCTGGTCCATCCCTCCATTCGGACCCAAGGACCCGCCATGGCCCCACGGAGGGCCCTGCCTTCTTCACGCAGCTTCCTGCCTCGCGGCCCATCGCCTGGTGGGTGGCGCCCAGCCCCTCTCCCTGCGAGCATCTCCGCTCCTGAAGCGCCTACCGTCCTGGCCCGAGTGCTGCAGGTGGTCCTGCAGGTCGCACCCGAACACCCGCTCCTTCGAGCTGCCCTTCTTCTTGCCTTTCTGCCGAGACTTCATGGTCGGAGCCCAGGCCTCTGGCCCAGCCACCTCCGTCCCCCAAAACCTTTGGCCTACGGGTCCCCCAGGAAAGTCCTAGCCAGCCTACGGGCTTGGCCCAGCCCAGGGGGCAGGGCTCCGAACTGGGGGTGGAGGCGGCCTGGGCAGCAGGCAGCAGCTCCTGCCTCTGGGGCTCCGGCCGCGCGGAAGTGGTGGTGGAAGAGGAAGCTGCCAGGACCCCGGCACAAAACTGTCTCGTGGCCGACCTGGCACTTGCCCCTCAGCCTGCTCAGCTCGGAGGGCAGGAAGCAGCGCAGCGCCCCAAACCCGCTTCCTGTTAGAGCATCTTTCAACCACAGGGCGGGGTGGGGGAGGTAGCTGACATTCACATCCTCACACGTTGCTGGGCTCTGCCCATTGGTCGAGGGGCGGTGATGTCAGAGTCCTGGGGTGAGTGTGCGGCTGGGGTGTGAGCAGGTGACGGGCACATAGAGCCAAGAATGCTGGGTCCCAGGTAGAGACCTGAGCTGGTCCCCAGCGAGGCAGCTCGGAGCTGTGCCCACACACACAGGAGGGAGGGCCAGGCCCGCCGACAGCCCTTCACACGGGGACCTGGAAACCCTTCCCGCTCGAGCCTCCGGGGAACTCCTCTGTGGTTTGGCTTCTTTGCCTGCCTCCCCGCCTGTGCTGCCCACGGGCCCTGCCTGCTGCCCCCCTCCCGCCCCCATCTCACAGATCCTCCCGGGACCACAGGACGGCGCTGAGGCCGACAGCGGGGTCCAGGCTTACGCAGCTCAGGGGGCAAGACAGGAACAAGGCCAAACAGGTATCATCTGTTTATTTAAAAACAGACTATCATTTTACGTACAAATATGGACATATTTACATAGAATGTACATGCTAGGTCCCAGATCCAAGCCCTGGGCTGGCTGGGGAGCAGGGCGGGTCTCTCCTGTGACCAGGAGCCGCATCGCAGGCCTGAGCGGTGGCCTGCAGGCGCCCAGCTGGGGGCTCTGGCTGCATGTGTCTGAGTAGACCAGGCAGAAAGGGGCCTCGTCTCACTGCAGCCTCCAACCACAGAAACGGTCAGAAAAGCCCTGAGGTGGTGGCCCCCAGGCCCCAGGGGAAGGAGCCAGTCTGGCCCCCAGCAGCCCCTTCGCATCCCCTGAACCCCCACCCTCTCTCCTCAACAACTGAACCAGGAACCCTTGTCACCAAGTCCCAACAACCCCCCACAGGTCCACAGGCGAAGAAAGCAGAGGGGCTCAGGGGACAGGGGCCGACCCTGCCCTCCGGGGCCGCTGCCACTCCCACCCGCAGGCCCCTGGCTGCAGGCTCCCTCCCAGAGGCCACCTGGGCGTCCCGGGCAGGTCTGTGCCGACAGCCTCACTTCAAGGAATGAGACCCTTTCATGTAAGTGAAAAGCTTGTTTACAGTCTTCCTCTTATTAAAGGGCTCACAGCGCCGGTCCTTAAAGAGGTGCAGGCAGCAGGCCCAGCCACTAGAGGGCAGAGGGCTTCTCCTGTGGGCGCTGGAGCCTCTGGGGACCAGGCTGGCTTCACACTCGCCCGCGGGCTCCAGCGCTGGGAGCCCCGCTCCGATCAGGAGCCAGAACCCAGCTCCAGCTGTGCCCGCACACCTGGAAGTGCCCACAGCAGCTCCACCTCTGGCCTCCAGCCTCCGCATCATTATAATACTGCTCTGGGGTCTGACGAAAACACCTGTTCGCAGGTGGAGGGCATGCAGCCACACAACTCTCACGCCGCTGCCGGGGCCTGGGCACAGCAGTACCGGGCCCTGGACCCTGACAGATGGCTTGACGCGCAGCACAGGCTCCCTCCTCACACACAGTCGGCACACGCACACACACACACACACACGCACACACGCGCGCGCGCACACACACACGCGCGCACACGCACACACACACACATACACACGCGCGCGCGCACACACACAGTCGGCACACACACACACACACACACACACTGACCTGCGCACACAGCAGGGACTCAACCAATGGAGCCATCTGGGTATCAGACACAAGGGCTGGAGGAAAAGGTCGCACAGTCAGCGGGGAGTGGGGGGCGAGATGAGCTGAAATCCTCACGTCAGCAGAGGGAGCCGGGCTTTGGGAGGTGGGCCGGGGTCACACCAGGTGCCCCCGCCCGTTGATGTAGATGCCGTTGCCCGTGGGCTTGGCCCGCAGCGTCCCGTTCTCCTGCACGAAGTGGCTCATGGCCTGCTTGATGCCCTCGTCGCGGTCCTCCTCCCCCTCTGTCCGCTCGCAGCCAGAACTGGGCGCCAGCAGCTCTGTCTGGGTCTCGATCTCCCGCACGGTGGTCAGTGTGGAGTAGCTGCGACCTTCCGGCTCTTCACTCTGGAGGCCAAGGGCAGAGGGCATGTCAGGAACCAAGACAGGGCAGCCATACCCTGGGGCGGGGGGCGCGGAGGGGCAAGGTGGAGTCGTAGGTCAAGCATAAACAGGGGTCAGGGGTCATGGCTGTCTCAGAGGCACTGGGCATGAGAGGAGGAGCTGGGAGCAAGTGCTGGGTGTGGGGACAGAAATGGAGATGTAGGTGGAGCAGGAGGGCAGGGTGGGGCCGTCTGAGCCAGGCTGAGGGGCAGGCCAAGGACAGGGAGGGGCCACTGACCCCCGCCCCCACTGGGAACAGGACAGGAGCTGAGGAGAGTGGTGGGGGCGCAGTGGGGCCGGGGCCTCACCATCACAGAGCAGCTACTGTTGTCCTTGAGACTATCGGGATGGCCCTCGGCTCTCAGCCCTACACTCTCCTCCGGCTGCAGGGCCGGACACGGGGAGTCAGGACAGGGCTCGGCCCCACCTCTGTCTTCCACCAGCTCCTCCCTGACCACCACTCCCCCAACCCACAGCCCATTCCCTCCTGGACACAAACATCCTCGTGCCCCCACCCCCCAGGACCAGTGCTGATGGGGCTGCCCGAGGACCCAGGGAACCGAAGCAGCTATGAGTCAGCGGCCAGCCCGACAGAGGGCTGTGCTCCTGGGCAGAGGGCACCCACCTGGCTCCTGGGGTCCGAGTGGTGGGAATGCAGCCTCCGGATGGAGTTCTCCCTGGTCAGGGTCAGCTCCTCCTCACTGGGAAAGACACCCCTTGGTCAGGAGCGGGACAGAGGTGAAGCCCCCGGCCGGGCCTCTGGGAGACCGGGCCCTGGGTGATGTGCTGCCCCTGCAAGTGTGCTCGACGGCTGTGGCGGCAGCATGGCTGCGGAGCATGTGCGCATGCAAGTGTGTGTGCATGGTGACACCTGGGTGTGTTGATCCTACCCTCAAAGGCAGCGAGGTCCTCCTCATGCAGCCGTGGCCCAGACCCCGAGCCCCAGAGGCCCACCCCCTTTCCTCTCCGCGGTCCCCCCACCGCCGCCTGTCTCCTCCGTCCCCAGGAGCGGCCAGTACTCACTACTTCTGGGTCATCTGCCGGGCCTTGCGCCGATGGTATCGTGACATCAGCACCACCACCACCACCAGGAGGCAGAGGAGGAGCCCGGCGATCACACCCACCACCACCACGGAGGCCGACACCAGGTCCACCTGCTTCCCCGTGGCCTCCGCAGGGTCTGCTGGAGACAGGCTGCCTGAGCGGGAGCCCAGTTCCCGCGCCGTCCACACAGAGCAAACCTCACCCCGCCCCGCAGCCCGGCCCTCTGCTCGCTGCTGTGGCCCCCGAGCTTACCGAGCACCTCCACGGTGACCTGGGCCTCCCGCCAGGAGAGGTCATTGCTGACGTGGCAGACGTAGACGCCACTGTGCTCCGCAGTCAGCGGGGGGAAGCCCAGGGTGTCCCCTTTCACGCGCACCCCGCTCGGCAGAGGTCCGTCCAGCCTGGAGGACAGGGAGCTGATGGGGGCTGTGGCCGCACCACCGACGTGCCCAGGCCTTGCTCCCCTTCCCGGCCCCATGTCGTCACCCGGTGCCGCAGGCCGTTCCCACGGTGCCCCTCCCACCCAGGCAGGTCCAGGCAGAGGCCCTCCACCCTGCCGCTCAGCCTGACCTGGGCGCCCTCCACACGCGCATGCCATCCCACATGCTCCCACGGCAGCACATCACCCAGACTGGGCACCAGGCACCTCTGGCATGAAGTCCACAACAGGACACTTCATTCCTGTCTGGGCTCAGACGTACTTGGAAAAAGTGACTGGCACCCCACCCCCACGGCACGTGCACAGGCAGGGCAGGGCCTCAGGCACAGGCCACGTGCGCCCGAGGCACCCACATCCGTGCGCCTGACCCTCCCTGAGTCCCTGGACCTCAGACCCTGGAGAAAGCCAAGTGCTTCCAGGGCAGGCACCACCGTGGGTCACAGGAGCGTTGGTTCAACAGCAGTTACAATCAGCTGCATCCTGTGGTCTCACCCCCTTTAGGAACTGATGTGCATGTATGAAATGTTAATACTTAAGGACTTCGTCGTGTAAAAGTTAGGAAAAAAGCCAAGGTCTTTATTGGCTGGTTCTCTAAAATGATCGCATACCCGAGACTCCCCATGCAAGCCGATGCCACTTGGTGACCACGGCTGTTCTTGCGTTGGATGAGCCTGTGCCCCAATTTACCTGGGGCTCAAACTATCCGTCCAGCCCCTCCTGAGCACATGCTGGCCTGAGAGAAGGTCTGGGTCCGAGCGGCCCTCCCCAGGCCAGGCCCTCACCGTGTCCAGTTGTAGGTGGGCGGGGGCTGCCCCTCACTCAGGCACTTGAGTGTGGTGCCTTCTCTGCCGATCTGCCACAGCTTTTGGTCTTCCAGGCCCCGCACAGAGGCCTCTGCAAGGTCTGGGGTGGAAGGTGGGAGGAGAAAAGATGGGAATGGTGGCTCTGATCTTGCTGTTCCTTCAAGGGCCCCCACCCCAGGCTCCACCGACCTGAAAGAGCCTCCCCTGCCTTCTCCTTCCCACTCACTGGTGCCAACCCAGCCCCCACCCCCACCCCTGCACCCGGCCCGTGGTGCCTCGCCACACAGCGCCCTCTCCTCTCTGGGCTCAGAGGGTCCTGGGGTACAGGGTGCAAGGAGCCCCTGCGTGCCACAGTAACTCGTCCCGAGCCCTCCCGCCGACGTCCCGCGGAGCTGTACTGGTTCATGCTCCCTGATTCTTGGGAAGCTAAATATCTACTATTCCATTCATTTCCTTAACAAACATCTGCTGTGGACCCACGCTGGGCCACGCTGGGTTAGTCTGAGTCAGAAACAGTCCTCACCCCCAGAGGCCCCACACCTCCTGCCAGGCCCCCGCTGCTCTGCGCTCCTCCCTGCACTGAGCCCCCCGCTGCTCTGCGCTCCGGGCCCTAGTTCCCACGGGAGCCCTGACATGGGTCTGACTCCCCTCCTCTGCGGAGGAAGAAACGGAAGCCAAAGGGGAGAGCGGCAGCTGGCAGCAGCTCCCATCCCGGCCTGGACACCCCACCAAGTGCTTTCAATTCCTAGTTCACGTGTGATTCTCCCAACCAGCCTTTTAGGTCAGAGGCCAAAGGTCATCTGGGTGGGCTCCCCCAGGCCTCACCTCTTGGACTGGTGCTCTCTCAGCCACATGCTGTGGCCACAGGACCCGGCTGGCCTGACAGTGGGGCTCGGCTCTCAGGATCTCAACCCTGAAGCCCACGGGGCCCCACCCAAGACCCAGTACTCACAGGCCACCCGCAGGATGTGGGTGATCCTCTGGTCCTGGAGCAGGCCCGGGTGGGAGACCACGCAGGTGAGGGGCCGCCCATTCATGCTGCGGCTGGGCACCAGGCGGAACTCTGAAGTGACAGCCGCCGAGCGGGAGTGCTCAAAGGTGCGGCTGGACGTCGTGCCCTTGACCTCTGTGTCCCAGGTCACGTTGGGAGCCGGGCTGCCCTCAGCTGTGCAGGAGGCGGCCAGTGTCAGGCCCTGGCCCTCTTCTAGCGCTGGACCAGGATTCAGTGAGGGCAGGGGAGGCACTGCAGGTGGGGGAAGGGGGTCATGGTCTGCACCCTGTCAGGAGGCCCTGCCCCATCCCAGTTCCATTCCCACCCGCCGCTGTTCTCTTATTTCACCAGGAAAGATACCAGGTGAGTGGCAGAATCTCATCTGACTGTATACCTGACCGCTGTTTGTATTTTTTACAATGAGCATGGGTTACTTTTAATGAAAACAATGAACTAATTAAAGATAACGTATATAATAGTAATAGGCACCACTTATTACGCACTTGCTAAGTGCCAAGTATTATGCTAAACACTTTACAAACAGCATCTCATCAGTCCTGCCAGCAAGCCATTGAGGTGCACAGGTATGGCTGTTCCTGTCCCATCGAGGACCAGAGCCTCAGGCAGGGAAAGGCTGCCCCGGACCTGGCTCTTGGCTGCTCAAGCCGGGTTCACACTCCTATTTCCTATAAGGCTGGCGACTGGGGAGATGACAGACCTGTTTTATCTTCATAACATTCTCAGCCTAAACCCAGGATGGAAAAGACTTCACTTGGCCTTCGGTTTGGGGCTTCCACCGACCACAAGCGCCCACCGGGCAAAGCGGGGACTTAAAGGGTCACTGTGGTCTGACCACACTCACTGAGGTCCAGGCCAAGAGAGGCATTAGACCCCGGTCCTGCAAGGCACCTGCCACCCCTGGGCCCCACGCGGAGCCCAGGTGCTGAGGGGCTTTGACCAGCGTCTGCTGGAAGCGGGTGAGACCCAGTGAGCGCGGCGGGGGCGGGGCAGGTCCGGGGCCCACCCGGAGGGCTGGGGCTCCGGGAGCTGAGAGCCGAGGGTGCAGGTGAGAACTGGCTGGGCCCTGTCGCCCGAAAGAAACCGAGATGGAGGTGTCAGGAAGAACTTGCGTTAAATGGCTCCTCCCAAGGCTGAGCCGGGGGCACCGAGG